CCGCCCCATCGCCACGAGAACGGTGCCTGGTGAGCTCGCTGAGGGCGGCCGCAACGTGGCCCCACACGTTGGCAGTGGCGCCCTGGAAGGGCATGTCCTGATAATGGGCGCTCTGCGGCACTCGATGCGCCGCCATGGTGGGTCCTGTCGCACGTGATGGGCGACGTGCACCCGTCGTCGGTGAACTGTCTTGCTCACCAAGCACTGTCTCAAGTGCCTCCATCCACGCGGCACAAGCGCCGCTGACTGGCAGCGCGAACTGGCGGCCCACACGACAGGACATGGACTGTTGAACGGGTTTCCAGACCTGGTCAAGGGAATGGATCTAGAAGCCCGAACGGGCTCGAGCCAAAAGCCAACGGTCGGGGTCGAGGGCAGAGGCAGGGGCGCCATCAGCGGAGGGCGGGGCGGCAGGGGGAGGCCCGCAGCGGGGAGTGAGATCTATAACGGCCTCACCTCAAGGGGGCCGGCTCTCGCCGGGGGGGCGGAGGGGTGGTCGCGTCGTTGGTATCTGACGAATTCCTCGAAGCCTGAAGAAATTCCAGCAGATGGTCTGCCCAACCGGATGGGAGGGCAGAGGCAGAGGACGAGGGGGGAACAATAAAGTCGGGCTCGTCAGCGCACGGATCGACTTCGTCGCCCCAGCATCAGAAGTGACCGCCGCCCCCTGACTGAGGAGAGTCCGAAACAGGGTCGCGGACCCTGGGAACAGAGCTGGCCTGAGGATCGCCTGGGGTGGAGCCTTCGGGCTTAGCAACTAAATCACCAAAGAGAGCGTGGGTGCGCTCGATCTTTTCGTCCCGAGCGACGCTTCTGGCCCTGGGGCGGCCGGCCTCGGGCTCTGGGGGCCCGACAAAACGCATGGGGATCTGCGGAGACCGAGCGATGATCCGCGCGCCTGCACCCCGCAACTGAAGAAGTGCAGCACAGCGAGGATGCCACGGCGCATCCTCGATGGCACGCAAGCCAACAATATGGGGTATCAGATACAGACGCGACGGCAAAATCGATGCGGGGGGCCCCTTCGGACCCCCCGCAGGCGAGCTGCATGGGGACCTGCGGCGCAAGCGCCCCGAGCCGCAAGACGAACCCGATGCGCTGGAGCTCGACGGGGGAGAAGTTGAAACCGCCCAAGACGATCCAGGGCAACTGAAGGGCTTGGAGCAAGGATCCGAAGTGGGCGAATCGAGCGAGATTCTGACCTCCGAATCCAGCCCCGCATCAACTGTGGAAAGTGCCAATGGCAACACTAAAGCCCTGCAGCTGAATCGCAACGGGTAGAGACCCGCCCAGCACAGACTGACCCGATGCGCGGTGCACCACGAACTTGCCGTTCACAAGAGGATGGGCTGCCCGCGGCCCTCGGCGAGAAAACATCCCGCCCCCTTCGCTCGCGTTCGCCCGCCTCGGTGCCGCGAGACACTGTCGGCAAGTCGGGCGGGCCCTGTCGGCGAAGCACTCGAGGGAATATTGGCGAGCTCTCTCTCTGACCACTTCGAGGTTTAAGACGATGTAGCGCGAGTCTCGCAGAGGGTGAAGCACTGAAAGATAAGAGAACTGTGCTGGCTAGCGGCTAACTTGGCAATGTGGCCCCATGACTTGTTGCCACGCACTGCGACGTTGCTGAACAAATATGAGCAATGTCGCGCGACGCGCCGCCGCCATCTGAAACCGCGTCAGCAGAGGCCCCAGCAGGCAGCTGAGCTCCAGCACCTTGCGGGCCGTCGCCAGCGCTGGCCCGCCCGAAACTTGCAGCGGTAGCTGTGGGGTAGACGCGCTTGAAATGCTGCGCCCTGCCGATGCTTCTTCAGACTGAGGCAGCTGCGCCCCGTCATCCAGAGTGCCCTGGCCAGCCCCAGCCAGCGAGGGGAAAGCACGCGCTGAACTAGAACTGAGGAGCGCAGACGTCGCTGAGCCACAGGATGTGGACATTGGCGGGGATGAGGAGCCTGAGGCCCCCTGTGCTGCTCCAGCAGCAGACGGGGCTGCCGGAGCGCGCGCCCGTCGCGCGGTGGCCCCCGAAGGCTTGGGGGGGGCTACCAGCCCCTTGCCTTGGGCCTTCGCTGCCGCCTCCGCAGCCTGCCTCGCCGACGCCGCCTCGGCCGCTGCTGCTGCCGCCTTGGCCTCTCGGACGCGCTGAATCTCCGCGTCGAGCTCGGCCGGGGCGACGCAGGGATCCTCCGCCAGCGCTGCAGGCCCTCCATCTCGGCCTTCCACGCCTGGACATGCTCGCCTCGCTCGCCGATGAGCGATTAGGGCTTCAGCAGTTCCTGCTCTAACTGTAACTGCAGGAGCTCCTCCTTCTCCTTGGGCTCGCACTCGTACTCTCCCTTGTGCAACTGGTCGAAGAACCCAATGCACCGCTTGAGATCGAAGATTTTGGCGGGCTCGTCCTGCTTGACTGGCTCTGCCTGGGAGGGAGCAGCGAGGCCAGCCTCCGCTGCGAGAGCACGTGCATCGACGCGCCTGGCGAGCTCCGCTTCGGCCAGCTGCTTGACAGCAAGCTCCTCGCGCTCCTGGGCTTTGGCAACCTGCTCCTGCGCCCGTCGCACAGCGGCGGTGTCTTGATCGTGGCGCTGGTTGGCTTCCTCCCAAGCTGACTCAGCCCGCCAGTGGGCTTCGCCTGCCGACACCGCGGGCGCAGCAACTGTCGCCTGCCGTCGCTGTTACTCCGCCTGCAGCGCGGCCTGGAGGAGCGGGTCGGTGGTGACCATGATGGCCTGCCTGAGGATGTCCGTGCTGTCTGCCTTGCCAGTGAAACTCAGCGCGAGCGTGGGCTGGTCCTTGTGCTTGCTGTTGCCCTTGCCCGTGCCGTTGCCGTCCTTACCCCGATGTAATCGAAGCTGCTTGCCGCACTTGCACCATCGATCACGCTGGAGCAAGAGAGAATTCCATTCACATGCGCCGCAGTGACTACACTTCGTGTATAGGTCCTGCTGGCTGCTGCGTCCACCATCCTTGGGCATGGCTGGAGCCGAACTCCGGTGGCGTCGTCGTAGCAGAACGACCAGGCGCCAGCGCCGCAGGCTGTCGCGAGCCACTGCCCGCTGCTTGCGCGCACAGCGGTGCCACGCGGGCGAGCGCCACCGTGGCCGCGCGCCCGTCCCGCTGTCGCCCCCTCGGGGTTGGGGGCTGAGGTGTGCGGGTGGCCGAAAAGAAAAGGGGGGGGTCTACCGCGCTGCTCAACAACCTGTAAGAGGAGGAAGGGGAGGAGGAGGAGGAGGAGGAGGAGGAGGAGGAGGATGTATAGGAGAGAGGGGCGGACGAGAAGGATGAGGATAATATGTAGTATGATATGACGATGAATGCTGATGCTGAGCTGATGCTTGTGCTGAATGCTGGTGATGCTTATGATAATGATAATGTTGATGGTGATGGTGATGGTGATTGGTTGATATGATGATCATGATGATATGAGTATGAGGAATGATGATGATGATGATTGATAGATGAAGCTGAAGATGATATGATGATGAAGATGATGATGATGATATGAAGAGAAGAGAGGAGGAGGAGGAAGGAGGAGTAGAGGAGGAGGAGGAGGCGGAGGAAGGAGGAGTAGGAGGAGGAGAGAAGAGAAGGAGGGAGAAGGAGGAGGATGAGAGGCAGGAGAGGAGGAGAAGGAGAAGGAGGAGGCGGAGCAGAGGAGGAGGAGGCGAAGAGGGGTAGGAGAGGAGGGAGGAGGAGGAGGAGGAGGAGTAGGAGGAGGTGGTGAAGGTGAAGGAGAGGAAGAGGAGGAGATGAGGTAGATGTAGTCGATCTTCGTCTAGAGGAGGCGGATGAGGGTAGGAGTCGGCTCAGTGCGTCGTCGTCGTCTTCTCTGCTAGCGTCTCGTCGTATCATTCGCCTTTAACCTGCCCATTAGGCTGGCGGCGTTCTCTTACTGCTGCTGCTTCTTCTTCTGTGTGCTTTGTCTGCGTCGCTTTTTTCTTCTTCTGCCTCTCTTCTTCTTTCTTCTGCTTTCTTCTTCTCTGTCGTCTTCTCTTCTCTATCGCCGTCTTCTGTCTCTCTTTCTTCTTCGGTTCCTATTCTTTTTCTTGTGTCTGCGGCTTCTCGTGCCGCCGGAGTTCGTGCTTCTCCCTTATTTCTGGCTTTTCTTCTTCTTCTTTCTTTCTTACGTTCTGTCTCTTGCTTCTCCCCGCGCCTTACACCCAGGCACAGCGCGTGCCCTAGCCGCCCGCGGTCTCCCCCCGACCCACCCTCTGTGTGGCTGCCTATTCTCGGGTGCCTACTTCGCTTGCCGTGGCATCCCCATGCTTGCCTCGAACGCAGCGGGATCGCTCCGACGCCGCAGGCCGAACCGTTTTTTTCTTCAATCTGGGAAGGCTTCCTCGACTTCGGCCCCCGCGGGGATCGCTTGCGGGCCTTGGGGCAAGAATGGGACCACATCAGATCGGAGGATGCCCGGGTCGTCGTTGATGCTCGTCGTCCTCCTCACCCTCTTCCGCCTCCGCTGCACTCTCCTTCTCCTCCCCCTCCTCCAACCTCCTCCTCCTCCTCCTCCTCCTCCTCCTCCTCCTCCTCCTCCTGCTCCCCCTCCTTGCTCTTCCTCCTCCTCCTCCTCCTCCTGCCCTCACCTCCCCTCGTCGTTGGAAAAATCACGACGGACGGTTTTGCGTAATTTTCGGCTCGGGGGGCTCTCGCTGGACCGGACCGCTTCCCCATCTCGATCGGATATCTTTTGGACGGTCGGGGGGCCCCGTGCGAGATCAGCCAGCATCAAATCGGGAAATCGGATCGGATCGGGCTGGATCGGTACGGACTCGAAATCGAATCGGATCGACTGCGCCCGGATGCGCAGCAGTCGGGCCGCACCGGATTGCTGGGACATCGAAATCGAATCGGATCGACCTGGCCGAAATCGGTATCGAATCGGATCGATCGGATCGAATGTGCCCTGCTGCGAGGGCCTCAAGAGGCCGGAAATTGCCAAACAACCGTCCGCCTCGTTTTTCCCACGGCGAGTTGAAGGGTGAGGCGTGGGGGAACCGGGCGCGCGCCTTCGCCGCTGCGGAGGGCGACAGCTCGGCCAAGGCCGCTGGGTCCAGCTCAGCGGCGGCGAGGCGCGCCAACGCCTTCCGACGGGCCCTGCTTCTGCAACTGCTCCCTCCTGCACCTCTCTCTGCGCACCATCCCCATCATCTTCCCGCTCCTCGTCCAAATCCTGCTCTCGCTCCCGTGCCTGCTCTTCTCTCCCTCTCTCTCTTTCTCCCTGTGTTTCCCTGCGTTTGCGTCGGACAAAAGAGGGGGGGGGGGAGCGATAGGGAAAAAGGGGCTCGCGGAATCTGCTGCATGCAGCTGGCTTGGGCCCGGGCCGCCAGGCGCCCTTCTCGAAAGCCGTGGGCGACCACGGCGCCGAGAAGCGCTGGGAAAGTCGGCCACGCGAGAGCTGGCTCGCAAACTCCCCCGAGCGTGGTGGACCAGAACCGGCGGCGCGGGAGGAAAATTCACGAAAATAGTAAAAACATAATCCGGGGGCGATTTTCCTCCAGTGTTTGTTTGTAACTATTTTTTTGCTTTTCGCCCAAAATCCGCCTGTAGGAGGGCATGCCCGACCTAAAGATAGGGGGACGAACAATGATATCACCATAACCACTCCTTGGCGGCGGCTCCGGCGCCGCTCCTGGCGCACTCCGCGCGCCAGGGAGGGGAGCCCAGCGCCGATCTGAGAAATCCGCGCGGAGCTCCGAGTTTTTCTATGTATGGAATTGCTCGTCGCCCTTGTGTTAGGTCGGGCGTGTCCTCCTAGAGGCGAAATTTGGACGAACAAAAAAGCAAACAATGCTCAAACGGTGTTCTCCGATTTCGTGTTGTTTAATATGTTTCCCTCGCTTTTTCCTTGTCCCGCCTTTGCTGCAAGACGACACCGAAACGACAACGATCCGCGAAATCGCACATAACTCCGTGCAGGTCGAAGCCTGCCGTGACGTCCGTGGATCGGGTTGGGTGCCCACTCGATGGTGGCAGTCGGGCGTTGCTGAACGCGGGGGCGATCGGTTGGGAGGTGGAGAAACGTGCACCTTTCGTGCCCCTGTTGGGCTCCAGGGGCCCCTTAGGGCACGAGAGGTGCACATTCCCCCCCCCATCCCCATTTCATCGCCCCCCACCCCCTTACGCAACACCCGAGGCAATCCTGGAACTTGACCTCCGGTTTCGGCCCCCCGCCCCCTTCGGACTCGCCACTCTGGGGGTGCACGCCTCGAAACGGGGATCTCGACGTGCTCGGCGCCGGCTTTCATTTGGTTTCCTCCTCGCACCCCTCGCGCTCCCCCTTTCTCATGGTGTCTCTCCGTCCAATGCTCGTTCGGGGCTTGGGTGTATAGACGGAAGCGCCGGCTGCTTGTAGAGCGGCGCGACAGACAAACAAGCCCATGCCCTGGCAATCGCCACGCCATGCCCGCTTTCTCTCTCTCTCTCTCTTTCTCTCTCTTCCTCCTCCTCCTCCTCTTTCTTCACTCCTTCTATTCGTAGATGACGCCTCCCTTTCTCACCCCGAGGCTGGTCGAGAGGGCGGGCCAGGCGTTTTAACTGAGATTCCTTACCATTTATGAACTTGAAACTTAAATTTCGGCAACAATTTCACGGATGGATGGCGCTCCGTTTTCACAATGTGGCTCTCACCTGTCCGCCGCGCACATTCGTTGCAAACATTTTCAAAAGCTGAGGGCGGGTGGTTTTCATCATGTGATTCTCGCCGTAGCGCCGCGCACATTCGTTTGAACACATTCCAAAATGTTTCACGAGTTGAGAACGTTTCCTTTTCAAACTGTGGTTTTCGCCTTAGCGCCGCGCGCAGTCGTTTAAACAAATGGCACGATTTCATTCATTGAAGGCGGGTGGTTTTCAAAATCTGGCTCTCGCCCCAGCGCCGCGCAATATCGTTTAAACAAAATGCCAGAGCTTGGCGGATTGAGGGCTGATGGGTTTTCAAAATCAGACTCTCGCCTGAGCGCCGCGCACAATCGTTCTGAACATTTGCAAAAGGTTTCATGGGTCGAGAACGGTTCCTTATCAAAATGTGGCTCTTGCCTCCGCGCCGCGCTCATTCGTTTTAATCGTTTGCAAGAGTTTCAAGGATTCCCCCGGTTGACTTACCAGAAACTGTGTTGTGGACCGGTTCAGGATTGTCAGGGCGCAACAATTCTGTTGATCCGCGGTGTTGAAGTCCCAGGACTGGTGTTCTGGCGCGATTCAGGATCGGCAAGGCGCAACAGTCAAGTTGATTCGTGGCGTTGGAGTTCCGAGCGGTGTTTTGGCACGTTTCAGGATGCTCAGACGGTTGTCTCCCAATGGGACATTCCCTCAGCGGAAATGAATTCTTGTGGGGGCCTATGAAGAAGGAGTTTGGAGGAATGCTCATTCTCACATTATTTATGAAACTTGGGTTCACAATGCTCCTCTTCCTCCTCCTCCTCCTCCTCCTCGAGTTGTGGCGCGGAGAACCCGGCAACTATGTGTTGGCACGTTTCAGGATCCAAACGGTTGTCTCCCAACGGCAACCTTCCCTCAGTGGAAGTGACCCCCTGTAGGGGTCTAGAAAGAGGCAGCTTGAAAGTGGGTTTATTCCGACATCGTTGGTGAGTCGTGGGTCTTCAATCGTCCCCCTCCTCTTCTTCCTCCTCCTCCTCCTCCTCCTCCTCTTGTCTTGGGCATGCTGTAGGGCCTCATGGACCCGAACGGTCAGCCAGGCCGCGGCGGCGCGGACACAGGACAGGCTCACGGGATCGCGGCATAGGGATGTCGGCAACGTTAGATGGGATGCATGGCATGATGGAGGTCAGAGCGGAGCGAGTGCCCGTGCAACCGGCAATGCCAGCGGCTCGAGGGGTGGCGGGAGGCCTGGGAGGTCTCTTAGGCGAGGGGCAGAAACCCATGGGGGGGTACCTCCGTTAGGGAGGGAGGCTGGGGAGCCAGCTGGCACGCTGTCCCGTGCCCGGTCACGCTAAGGAACCGAACCCCATACACCGACGCCCTTTCGGGCCCCGCACTTAAACTCGCACAGGAAAGCGGATCCTGGTGCATACATGTTTCGTTGCTTGCCTGGGAGAGTGGGGAACAAGTATACACCACACCACACCGACGTCACCCCCACCGTCAAAAAGAAAAAAAAAAAAAAAAAAAAAAAAAAAAAAAAAAAAAAAAAAAAAAAACAAAGAAAAAAAAAAAAACAAATAAAAAAAAAAAAAAAAAAAAAAAAAAAAATAAAAGAAAAAAAAAAAAAATAAAAAAAAAAAAAAAGAACAAAAAAAAAAAAAAAAAAAAAAGAAAATAAAAAAAAAAAAAAAAAAAAAAAAAGAAAAAAAAAAAAAAAAAAAAAAAAAAACAAAAAAAAAAAAAAAAAGATAAAAAAAAAAAAAGAAAAAAAAACCAACATCCGTCCCCGACCATACCCCCAGCCCGCCACTGGTAAGTACACGTTTTCACACCACATGCGTTTCGACATTGGCAAAGTTGGGGGTGGAAGGGAGGGTGGTCTGGCTCCAGGACCTCTGCAAATACGCGACTGTTGCAACCGTGTCGTTTCTATGGGGTAGACTCCGCCAGCTCGTACCAGGCGCCCAAAAACCAGCCAGGGATCCACATCCATGAGGGGGGGGGGGGGGGGGGGTGCGAGGGCCCGCGCCGATCGGCAAAACGCTGAATAAAGAACGATCACACATGTATATGCTCCAGGTTCTGACAAATATGAAGGGGTTCAGGGACACACAAATACATACACACACATACACATATTCCAAATATGTTCTCTTCTATTTGTTGGATTTTCGTCTCCCCCCCCGCTTCCCATATTTTCCAATGCTTCCCTGGGGATCGACGATTCATTGCGTCTGTGTGTTTTTCCCTCTATTGAAGAGAGCCCGGCCGCGCGAACGAGAGAAGGGAAAGGGTGTCGCGGAGACGTAAGCCTCGGCTCCCCCTCCCTCCCTCCCTCCCTCCCTCCCTACCTCACTCCCTCCCTCCCTCCCTCCCTCCCATCCACCTCCTACTACAGCTCCTCCTCCTCACCTCCTCCCCCTCCTCCTCCCCTCCACCTCCTCCTCCCTCCCTCCCTCCCACCCTCCCTCCCTCCCATCCTCCTCATCCTCCTCCCCTCCTTCTCCTCCTCCCCCTCCTCCTCCACCACCTCCTCCTCCCTCTCCGCCTCCTCCTCCTCCTCCTCCTCCCCTCTCCTCTCCTCCTCCCCCTCCTCCTCCTCCTCCTCCTCCTCCTCCTCCTCCTCCTCCTCCTCCTCGAAGACGTAAGTCTCGTGTTCGGCTCACTCGGGTTGACCTCAAAGGGCCGTCAGGAAACCGACGAGAATCGACCTGAAAATCGGCGCGAAATCCGCTACAAACATCCTACGGAAACTCACAAAACTCTGGACGGGCCCGCCAAAAAGCATCGGCCAACCTGGGTTCCAGCGAACTCGAGTCTTACATTTTCCCGACAAGAACCGGAGGTGAGCACAAGGGGGTAGGGAGAGGAGGAAGCCTTCTTAGAAGGAGGCTGATCCTCAGAAGGCGCGGGTCCTGCATCTACAGATAAGGCCCGAGGTTTCGAATAATCAGCCTCCGTCAAAGAAGCTTGCCCCCTCTCCACCTATCCCCTTGTGGGCGTGGCCGAAAGAAGGAACGCTACAGCAGGGAATGGAGGGCGGTATCGCTTTAGGGTCTTCGCTCGGCTCTTTGGCAGTCGGTCGGGACGCTTGGGGCACCCTGGGAGACAATCTTCGCGAGGCACAGGCGCTGGAAAGCATCCCGAAGCTGCATAATCCCTCGAATACCTGCGCAAACATCCGAAATCTTGAACACCCAGAACTCCGACGTTGTTTTTGTTACAACGTCGACCTCCAGAGGTCTGGACCCCGTCCCTGGAACTGGTTTATCATCCTGAAGCTTGTTTGACGGTCCTGGGGCCCAATCAGAAATCCGTTCGTCCTCGTGTTCTCACCGCGAGAGGAAGTGAGGGAACCTCGAACTTCGAGCCTGGCGGAGCGGTAGAAGAATAGGCATCAACATGCGCCTTCGGAACTCCGCACGGAGTTCTTGGATCGGCGCTGGATCCCTCCCCTGGCGCACGGAGCGCGCCAGGGGCGGCGCCAGAGACGCCGCCAGAAGGGCCCAGCGCAGATCCAAGAGATCCGCGCGGAACTCCAACAACGCATTTTCATGCCGTGGAAAGTGGGGAAGACAGAAGGGACCGAGACCGCCACTCCCTGGACCTCTCCCAGGGTGCGTTCTTACTGGACTTTCGGGGCGAATCCGGCGGTGGCGACGAGGGCCTCCCAAGAGGCCGAACAGGTGGAAACCGGATGAAGGGTAGCGGTAGGGGGCAACTCTTCCTCCTCCGCGGGGCATCGCGCTACCAGAAAATGAACCTCCGCACGAGAAGCAGAGAGGCTCTCCTGGCCACGTCGACCCGCGGCCACGAACCGGCCCTCCCTCCCAGGGCATTGGACCGCCGCCGATCTTTGTCCCTTCTTCCTCCCTCTTCCCTCCCTTCCATTCCTTCGTCCTCCCCCCCCCCCTCCCGCCGAGAGCGTCCAAAGCACTCCTAGGTATTCCAGTGGCGCTCGTTCTCTTGCTTCCAGCGCGTGTCTTCACACGGCACCCGCGCAGTCTTTGGCTTACACTGTGTTGCATCGTTCTGCACGCGTAATCTCCGCACGGCACGCGTATAACCCTCTTGTGCAATGTAGCGTAGCAGCAGTGCACAGGATGTCAGCATGTTTTCTGTCATTGCTCACGGGAATAAGGATAGTCAGCTTCACAGCTTTAACTCGGAATCCTCCGGCTCCACGGGGCGAGCTGGTCTGGAAGGTAGTTCGGGGCTGCCAGGTGCACGGATCCAGGAGACGTAGAGCGTGCTCCGGGAAGGGCTTCTCCGGAGCACGTTATTCAGGGTCGCCTGGCAGCCTTCATAGGCCCAAGTGGCTGCCCATCGCGGGCGGCACGGGGTGCTAGCAACAGACCGGGTGCTCACGGAATCCCCCAGACCCGGCACTTGGGCAGGGGAGGAGCGAGCTGTTTCGCGCAAGGGTGAAAAAACAGTCCAGCGCTCCGACCATTCTTGCTTACTCCCCCCCCCCGACCTGGGGAGCGGCCCGGGCACCAGAGCCCCTCCCGAGTCCCAGGCGGCCCTGCTCACCTGGGCGGCGATCGAGAACGGGCCTTGCGCGAGATGGCGTAGAGACCCCACGCGGTGGCTTACGCGGGCCGCCGGCGCGACACGCTACTCTGGAAACGAGGGCGCTTACGCGCGACCTTGCGCGAGGAGCTTACGCGCGAATGTCGGCGCAGTCGACTCCGTTTTTCGGCGTCGCTCACCTGGAGGCCGCCTGGTGAACTGAACTTGGCTAGGGCCTCAGAAAAGCAAGCACGAGGAGAGAACGACCCAGACCCCTCGCGTTGTGAACAGGAAACACGACGGGTTTTTTTTCGCTATTGTCGGCCTCCCGGGGCCCTCGCCGGGCCCTGGGAGCGTCAACAAAACGACTCAGGACGGCAAACCGGTCCCCCGGAAGGGGCTCCAGACCCCTGGGGGTCGACGTTGTGAAAAGATCACGACGTCGGGGGTCTGGGGAATGAATGCGCTCAGATCGGCCTCCAGACTCCTCTGGGGGTCCACCTGGTGCACACTTTCACCCCAGATCCGTTTCTTTGACGGGCGGGAAGAATACAAGAGCCTTCTCGAGCCCAGGACCTCGAACCTCTCCGCCCCCCCTTCCTTGCTGGCCAAACCTTGTGCTGGGTGTTGGGCCACCTCGGACCCCCAGCCGGCCCCAGATTCTCTCAGCATTCACTGTCTGCTGCAGGGCGTCGTCCCTATCTGACGCCGTTGCCGCTCCCTCCCCGAGCCTCCCTTGGTATACGCATAGGCTTAAGGCAATAGGAAAGGCGAAGCCAGGACGAGGATGAAACCAGGTGAGGATAAGTCGAGAATATTTGAGATCAGGCGGCTCTGGAAGATTTCTCGGGCGCCGCGGCCTTCAATGAGCGTTCCGAACAGACTTATCCTCGTCCTAGCACCGTCCGGCTAGGCAGAGACTTAGCTGGCCCGACGCGACACGCAACACGCAACACGTAGCGTATTGATACTGAGCTCAACAGGCAGAATAAACACGCAGACCTGACGCGATACGTTCGCCAAAACATGATGCAATACCTTGAGCCCTTGAACCAACACGCAACGTGTTGGCACAGACGTTTTGGGCACGGCACGTGTTGCGTATCAGAACGGGCGCATCGAGGCAGCTACGGGCAGAGACAGCGGGCGCAAGAGAAGAGGCCAAGAAGGCCTGTGCCACATCCTCGGCCGCGTGCGCCGGCGGGCCGTCGGGGCCGGCGCTCGCCTCGTCCTGCGGGGAATGCGGGGCGGTCGCGTGCTCTGCCCCGCGTCGGGCGCGTTTGCGGCGCTCTGGGCCAGCGAGCGCGCGGCACAGGAAACAAGAGAACTCAGCATCGAATCGGGAAGTCCCAGGCCCCCTCGCGTTGTGGCAAAATTCACGACAGGAGGTTGTTCATTGTCTTCGGTCCCTGGGGGCCCTCACAGGGCCTCGGGACCATCAAAAAACGACACAGGATGAAAAGCAGGTCCAGGGGAAGGGGTCCAGACCTCTGGGGGTCGACGTTGCGAACAAATCACGACGTGTCGACGGTCTGGGATCGGCTCGAGTCGGAACGTGTATCGAATCGGACTGAATCAGGACGGAGTCGAAATCGAATCGGATCGGCTGCGCCATGAGGCACAACAACACCACGCAAGCGTCAGGCTGCACCAAAACGCCCGATCATCCGAATCGAATCGATCCGGCTGCCCGATATCGTATGGGATCGATCGGATCAACTTGGACCCTGCAAGAGGGGCATGCGCGGGCTGGCTGCCCATTTTCCCGTCGTTGCCACCAAGCAAATCTACGTTTAGACTTGTCAAGGCAAGTCTTGGGAGGAGAAAGAGGAAAGCTGAGGGGATGAAGCGGACAGAACGGATGACCACCAAGCAAAAACGAGCATCGTTTATCCGATCCCTATACCCACGGGCGTGGCCTGGGCCCCATTGGTCGATTTACCCCACTAGATGGGGATATGGGCCTTTCCCTTCTGGTTTCGAGGGGTGTATCCCCAACTGGGGTGGTAAATTGGTGGGTGTCTCGAAGAGGATGAGGATGAAAAAGGGGGTCGGTTGAACGATACTGATACATATATATATATATATACATACACATTCCTCTTCCTATATTTCCCTACCCAGGCTCTGCCTAGAAGGGTTATTACTCGGTGTGCTTAAAGGGCCGGGCAGTGGAACGCGCCCCGGGCGGTTCCCCCAGTATCCGCCCCGCGGTTCCCCCAGTTACGTCCCCTTAGTTTAGCGTTGCTGATCTCATCGTAGCTTTGCTTATTTCATATTAGCTTAGCTTAGCATCATCTTAGATCAGGTTTATCCTAGCTTAGCTTCCCCTACCTAGGCTCTGCCTAAAGGGTTTGCTTGCTTAGCTTAGCATCGCACAGCGCTGCATTAGCATAACATAGCATAGCATACCATAGCCAAGCATAGCATAGCATAGCGCAGCATAGCATAGTGCAGCATAGCATAGCATAGCATAGCATAGCATAGCGGAGCTTACCATAGCATATCATAGCATTGCATAGTATAGCGTAGCACAGCGCAACATGACATATCATAGCTTAGCATAGCATAGCCGAACATATCATAGCGCATCATAGCATAGCATAGCATGGCACATCGCAGCATAACATGGCATAGCATAGCATAGCAACTAATGCTGCTTTCCTAGGGGCTCCAACTTCTAGGTAGGGTCGCACTGGGGTAATTTCATAAGCCTGGGCGGAGGGACCCCCCCCAAACAAAAAAAACGGACTCCCGGGATCCGGGGCTTTGGGACCCTCCGGACGGGCCTCGAAGCGGCCCCCAGGGCCTCGCATGGCGTTTTGCCAAGCCTTCCCAGCACACCTAGGGCGATCAGGGGGGTCATCGGAGAAGTCCAAGAGACTCCCAAGACAGCACAAGAGCGCTCCAAGAGTGACCGACGTGACCTCAAGATGGCCCAAGAGGCCTCCAGGACGGCCCCAAAGGCATCAAAAAGCATCCAAGAGCACTCCCAAGAAGGCCCCAAGAGGCAAACATCAATGATTTTCTGAGGGTTTTTTTTTGTTGTTGTGAATTTTGGGGTTTTCCTCTTTTCGGCTCCCCGACGCTCCAATACGGCAGTTTTCTGGGCGTCCGAAGCCGCCTGGGAGGCTCCAACATCGCCCCACAACCATCCGAAAGGGCTTCCAGGCAGTCCAAGAGAGCCCCAAAACGGCACAACAGGGGTCAAAGATGGTCCTAAGAGAGCCCCATGGCGGCCCAAGACGGCCCCAAGACACCCTCCGAAGCATTCCAAATCGTGACCCGGTCGTTCAGGGAGACCGCGGTTGGAGGCAGGGTGGCCCGAGGAAGCCCCCAGAACCTCCAGAAGGCCCTAAGAAAGCCTGAAACTTTTTGTGAGGTCCCCAGAGGCTCTCCAAGGAGGAGCCTCCGCAAAAGGAACTGAGGAGGATGGGGAACATGCGCGGGGTATGGCGAGAACGAGGAAAAAGAAGCATGGAGGAAGGATAACGAAAAAACATCATGTTAGCGGCGATGCTGGACAAGACAACAAGGAGTTATCGCTAAATTGTCGGCTTCGCCTTCCTGCCATTCCGCCTGCATACCAAATTTCAAGGACCAAGGTGCATGGCGCGAAGCAACCCTGCAGTCTTGTGTATATATATATATGGATATCGTTATGTATATGTATATGTATATGTGTATGTATATGTTTATGTATATGTATATGTATATGTATTTGTACATGTATATGTATATGTATATGTATATGTATATGTATATGTATATGTATGTGTATGTATATGTATACGTACACGTATAGTATATGTATATGTTTATGTTTATGTGTATGTATATGCATATGTATATGTATATGTATATGTATTTGTATATGTATATATTTTTTGGCCGGCCATTCTCGGCCTCCTTGGAGCCCTGATCAGGCATCCATGGGCCTTCAAGACTCAAGACACGGCCCAGGACGAGAAGCCGACCCCGGGGAGGGGGAGGAGGAGGCGCAGCGTCGTGCCTAAAAATTGTATACACTTCTCAGCTTGTGCGCGTCATCCTTGCGCAGGGGCCATGCTAATCTTTTCTGTATCGTTCCAATTTGAACGGATGATCCCCGAAAGGAATCCGGGAGGGGGAGGAGGAGGAGGAGGGGGAGGAGGAGGAGGAGGAGGAGGAGGCAGAGCGTCGAGAGGGAAGGTTCGTCTCGTCATCACCGCCGACCGCCCCTCGGCAGATCGGCCGCTTGCCTCGCTGCGCGAGCAATGGCAAGCGCTTCCCTGTTGGGGAAAACCGTCGTTAAAGATTTGGCGTGCGCCAGCTTGCGATAAAAATGGAAGGCCACCACCGCTCTACGAAGACTCTCCTGGTCCGTGGGGCCGAGGGCGAGTTTGTGGAGGGGCGCCTCTGGGAAGGGAGATCGGCAGACCTCCGAAACCATGCCGAGGAACACCTCACAGCAGAAATAGTGCTTAAGCGAATCCGGCCCCACTCCACATACGCGGCAGCGGGCGTCGGGTTTCCTCAACCTCGTCGAGGACCCCCCCCCCACTCCAAGTCTTTAAAGCCGCCATCCTCCATGAGGGGGGGGATCTCAGAAGTTCCGCCTGGACACGCTCCCACTCGACACAAGCCAGATCTCCCCTCTCAAGGCCAAACCAAGTTTGGAGTCTGCGGCCGAGGACTGCGATGAGCGACCCTGCAGGCCTGAAGCGTGACATGATATATCCTGCCACAAAGGATCTCTGCGTGCGCACGCGCACCGCACGAGACGTGCCGAGCTCCGCTGACCTCTGCCGGACCGACTCCCTGTCCCGAACCAGTCGAGCCAGTCCCGACAAAACATGAGGGAGCCAGGTCTGACCTACCGAAAGGCCTTCCCCAGCAGCATCCCGAAGCTCCCAGGAGATCGCTGGCGACTGCCAGAACTCTGGCCACGGAGCGGCACTGCGTGCATCTATGAACCTCACTATCGGCAGGTATCGCCGCGCAGCCTCGAGAAGCCTACGCACCGCACCCCGCCAGCAAGATAAAGTTTCAGTTGCCGCCCTGGCACGGCAGGCTGGTGCCAGAGCCTCGACATTTGACACCAGGGGGGCCTCCGAGGACTGGCAAGTCCCAGAAGGCGCGGAGCGGAAGCCAGCTGCCCGGCGCCCTGAAAAGACGCAGAAGTACGTACAGCTCGTCGTGGTGGAGGGAGGGGGGGAGGCGGAAGAGTTGAGCCTTGTACTCTAACACGCTGGTGGCACGCTCGCGGTAGAGGCTGACTGCGGTGGATTGGTCCGCGACCGACCGGGCATTGTCTCGGGTCCGGGTCCTCCACTTTTCGAGCACCCCCGCCCACTGGGAGGAGGAGGAGGAGGAGGAGGAGGAGGAGGAGGAGGAGGAGGAGGAGGAGGAGGAGGAGGAGGAGGAGGAGGAGGAGGAGGAAAAACCGACCCTGGGGAAGGGGTCCAGATCTTCGGGGGTCGACGTCGTGAGAAAATTGCATCGTCTGAATTCTGGGTGTGCAAATGAATTTTGCCTGGCGCCTCCAGCGGGCCCGCACTGCCGCGCGCGTCTGGGCTTGCGCAGCCGGCCCCGTGGAGGAGTGAGCCAACGCCGGCACTGACTGCAAGGGAGGCCGCATACATGGAATCCCCCCACGGCGGGTTCGTTTCGTGACGCCAAGCGCCGGTTGCTGACACCGCGTGGATCGTTCAACCTTGAACGATCGGCGGCTTCTCGGTCGCCAGATCGTTTCACATCGGACGGTTCTGAGCCACCAGCGGCCCCGAACGCCCGTGGCGGAGCTGCCGCCACCCCGCCGCGGCACGATATCCTTCCGTACGTACCCGTCTGGAGCCACTGGGCGTGCGAGATTGCTCTTGCACCCATGAACCTCTCGCCCGATGGAAACCCCGGAAGGAGGGAGCGAGGGAGGGGAGGGAGGGGAGGGAGGGGAGGGAGGGAGGGAGGGGAAGAGGGAGGAGGGGAGGGGGGGAGGGGGAGGGATGGGAGGAGGGAGAAGAAGGGAGGGAGGGAGGGAGGGAGAGGGAGGGAGGGGAGGGAAGGGGAGGGAAGGGGAGGAGGAGAGGGAGGGAGGGGGGAGGGAGGGAGGGCCGAGGGAGGGAAGGGAGGGGGAGGGAGGGAGGGACCCGATGCTGCCCCCCCCCCACCCCTCCCTCCCCGAGAGGGGCAGGGGCGAGCACGGGAAGCCGCCGGGGACGGCCCGCGGAGGCCCCCGAAAGGATCCAGGAC